CGCGGGCCGGGTGCGCGCCACGCTCTTCCTGCCGCCAGGTGAGCCTGGGTTGCTGCTGGCGGAGGGCGGGAGGGGGCGTGCGTGTGTGCTTGGCCCTTGGTAATTTCTGGTACCGCTTTAAGGGAGTTCGGCTCCGGGCAAGGTCAGAGAAGTTGGCATTAACTAAATCAGTGGCCGAACAACCAGACTAGAGTATTTTGATATGTTAGGCTCTGTGCTATGCTTTTTGTTTGTATAATCTCTTTTGATGTATATAATATCCCAATGAGGCGAGTACTGTTATTATGCAGATAAAAAAACAGGGTCAGGGTCGATAGGTATGTTGGCCACTTTGCTATTAACTACCCTCCAGATCTCTACAGCATCAGCCCTACAGGTCTTATGCAAAATTATGGTCAAGGAAGCTATTGCCATGTTGCCCTTCTCTAGTGTCCTGGGTACACTGGGCTCTTCTCCACCTCATGTTCCTCTCTACCACAGATCACACTTCAGCCTTTACTTCCTTCCTCGCCTGAAGTCATCTCTAGGTATTTTTCTTTCCTCTCTCTAAATGAACAGCTGAAATATTAATACACACAAAAAGCCAAGAGTTGATGCAATACAACATAAAAATTTGTTTCAAGATTCTTAATTCTATGTCCAATCCTCTACCAGAACACTGCAAACGAGCACAGTCTGAAACCTGAAATTCCTCCTTTCATGATATAGTCATTAATGAAAACTGTTATTCCCCTTACAATTAAAGAGCCTTAGAACCTTGCAGATAATTTATAACAGAATCATATGAAGGGTAAACTCATCAATGAGAAGGTATACCTTGCAGATTTTCCTCCCCCCAAGGAACTTCTTTTCTTTTTCAATAGTGACTCAGGGAGCAGTTTTCTTCCCTTTTTTTTTTTTTTTTTAAATATGTCGTTATTGATTTCAGAGAGAGGAAGGGAAAGGGGGAGAGAGAGAAACATCAATGATGAGAGAGTCATTGGTTGGCTGCCCCCTGCATGTCCCCTCCTGGGGGTCAAGCCCGAAACCTGGGCATGTGCCCTGACTGGGAATCGAACCGGGATTTCCTGGATCCTAGGTCGATGCTCAATCTCTGAGCCACGCTGGCCGGGCTGTTTTCTTCCCTTTGATTCACAGGAACCCATTAAGTAATTTAGAAAGATCCCTAAAAGGAAAGCAAAATCTTTAAATGATATAATTCCTTCCCTTTATAATATTCCCTTCTCTAGGACCTGGACCTTTCCCAGGGATCATTGATCTCTTTGGTATTGGAGGGGGCCTGTTGGAATATCGAGCCAGCCTTCTGGCTGGCCATGGCTTTGCCACATTGGCTTTAGCTTATTACGACTTTGAAGATCTCCCCAAGGAATTTGACAGTAGAAATATGGACTACTTTGAAGAAGCCGTGTGCTACATGCTTCAACACCCCCAGGTTCTCCTAATGTCCTTTATTGTATCATTCTCTCTAGATGTATCTCCATCACTTTGCACTCACTTGTGCCAGCTGCTGCTGGTGCTGCTCTACTTCTAACTTGTTAGCTTTGCATACTTGTTTTTTAATCTTTTTCTGACAACAGAGTATGTTCTCAGATTTTGATCTCAGATTTTGATCTGAATTTGCCCACCTATTTCACAAGCAGAGCACTACTTAATTGGACTCTGAAATCTTACTTTGTTTGTATGAAGTTAATCATTTGCTGACATATTTAGATGGGGTCTGGTGAATGATTCACTTCTTGAAACAGAACGTGGTTCCACACAGTTAGATAGCCATCCAGGCATGTTGAGACTTTGGTCATGCCCACCTGAACTTGACAGGCTCCATGACTCAGCATTCTCTAGTGGACAATGCTCTGGAATGTGTGTAATCAATTCCCAAACTTGCCAGTAAGTTTAAGATTTGTTTGCTGTGTGTCCAGCCAGATATTCTTTACTATGTGAGAAGAAACTCCTATCAGCTTAGTTTGGTTTTCTTGGGCCCAGTTCACAATTAAAGCTAGCAGCACATCTAGTTACTTTTAGAAAAACATTTTTCTATTGGGTAGGTTCTTGACTCTTCTTCCTCTTTTCTTCCAGGTAAAAGGCCCAGGCATTGGCCTTCTGGGCATTTCTTTAGGGGCTGATATTTGTCTTTCCATGGCCTCCTTTTTGAAGAACATCTCAGCTACAGTTTCCATCAATGGGTCTGGGTTCAGTGGAAACAAAGCCATATGCTACAAGGAGACTTACATCCCACCATTGGGCCATGACCTGAGGAGAATCAAGGTCTCTTTCTCAGGCCTCCTGGACATTGTGGATATACGGAATGATATTGTAGGAGGGTGTGAACACCCCAGCATGATTCCAATAGAGAAGGCCCAGGGACCTATCCTCTTCATCACTGGTCAGGATGACCATAACTGGAGGAGTGAGTTATATGCCCAAATAGCCTCTGAACGCTTACAGGCCCATGGAAAGGAAAAACCTCAGATCATCTCTTATCCTGGGACTGGGCATTATATTGAGCCTCCTTACTTCCCCATGTGCCCAGCTTCCTTGCACAAACTAATGAAAAAGCCTGTAATCTGGGGTGGGGAGCCCAGGGCTCATTCTAAGGCCCAGGTAGATGCTTGGAAGCAAATTTTGACCTTTTTCTACACACATCTTGGAGGTACCCCGAAGGGAGCTTCCCCTAAATTATAGTGCATTGGTCTGTTGTTGATATGAGAGATACAAGGTGAGATTCTAGTGTTTAATAACCTTAAGTGAATAAATTGTTCCCTGAATAATATCAAATTCATGTCATTGGTATTAATGATATATTTTAGGTAACTTTTTTGAATAAGTTATTTTTTTTCACTAATTTTATTAATGTAACACATGTCTACTGTAGAAGGTTCAATTAAAGGTGTACCAAAAAATGAAAAGCATCCTCACTGTTAAAATTTATGTTTTCTTCTAGATTTCTTTACTTAACACTTTGAGACATAGATGAAATTTAAAGCTGAACAAATAATGGGTTACTTTTTCACTGGAAGAGAATGGTCATCCAATGTTTAGTACTAGTTCAACTAGTGGTAGCAAGGTAGAATTTTCATTGGCCAAAGGCGTACAGCCTGGCCGGTGTGGCTAAGTGGTTGGGTGTGGACCTATGAACCAGGAAACAGAGGTTCGATTCCCAGTCAGGGCACATCTGCGATCCCCAGTAGGGGGTGTGCAGGAGGCAGCTGATCAATGATTCTCTCTCATCATTGATGTTTCTATCTCTCCTTCTCCCTTCCTCTCTCTGAAATAAAAATAAAATTAAAAAGTGTATAGAGCCCGGCCGGCGTGGCTCAGTAGTTGAGCATCGACCTATGATCCAGGAGAGGGGTGTTCAATTCCTGGTCAGGGCACAGACCTGGGTTGCAGGCTCGATCCCCAGTGCAGGAGGCAGCCGATCAATGACTCTCTCATCAGTGATGTTTCTCTCTCTCCTTCTCTCTTCCTCTCTCTGAAATCAATAAAAACATATTTTTTATAGAAGTACAGAGAAGTGTTTTTCTGTATCATAGCGGGAGTTTTTTGTTTTTCTCATTAACAGGTGTGGTTTTTTTAATATGTTTTTATTGATTTCAGAGAGAGGAAGGGAGAGGGAGAGAGGGATAGAAACATCAATGAGAGAATCATTGACCGCCTGTCTCCTGCATGCCCCCTATTGGGGCTTGAGCCCGAAACCAAGGCATTGCCCTGATGAGGAATCTAACCGTGACCTCCAGGTTCATGGATTGATGCTCAACCACTGAGCCACACCATCCGGGCTCATTAACAGTTTACAGGCAATATTATTTTGTATTAGTTTCAGGTGTACAGCATAGCGGCCAGACAATTATATACTGTATACCCTGTTAGTTCCAGTACTCACCTGACATAACACATAGCTATTATAATATTATTGACTATATTCCTTGTGCTGTACTTTATTTACATCCCTGTGACTATTTTGTAACTACCAATTTGTATTTCTTAATCCCTTCACCTTTTTCACCTAGTCCTCTCACCCTCCTCCCCGATGACAACCATCAGTCTGTTCTCTGTATCTGAGTCTGTTTCTGTTTTGTTTGTTTATATGGTTAGATTCCATATATAAGTGAAATCATACAGTATTTGCCTTTCTCTGACATTTCGGTTGCATAATACCCTCTAAGTCCATCCATACTGTTGCAAAAACTGAGATTTCATTCTTTTTTATGGCTAATATTCCACTGTATTTGTGTACCACAGACTTTTTATCCACTCCTCTATTGATGGAAACATCAATGTCTCTCTCTCTCTTTCCTCCCTCTTTTCCTCTCTAAAAAGCAATGGAAAAAAATCCTCAGGTGAGGATTAACAAAAAAAATGCTGTTATAAATACTTTATATGTTTTAATTAACTTAATGATACAGAAGATCATATGAGATATCTAACAAGTCTAACTGGATGTAGAGTTCTAGAGAAAGAAAGAAATGGGGCTGAAGTGGTATTTAAAGGAATAATGGCTAAGAATTTTCCAGAACTGACACAGGACACCAACCCTCAATTTCAAAAAGCCCTATAAATTCCAAACCAGATTTAAAGAATAAATAAATCCACACTGAGATATCATGATGAAATTAAATAAAATCAAAGTCAGAAACTTAGAGGCAGATAATGAAAGAAAAAACATGTAGATTAACTTCAAAGGGTGACAATTAGACTGATAGGTGACTTATCACAGCAACAAGAAATAAGGAAAGCAGAATGATACCTTCAATGTGCCAAGAGAAAATAATTGTGAACCTGGAACTCTATATCCAGAAAATAATTAGGACAAAACAAAAGTATTTCTAATCAAAACTAAAAGAGTTTGCTATCAACAGATTCTCACTAAAGGAAACTGTAGCTCTTCAAAATGTGGTCCTTGGATAGGCAGCTTCAGCATCACCTGAAAACTTGTTAGAAATACAGAAACCCAGGTCCCACCCTAGACCTACTAATTTGGAATCTGCTTTTTAACAAGACCCTTAAATAATTCATATGTACATTAGAGTTTAAAATGCACTGCTAAAAGTGGTTCCAGCCCTAGCTGGTTTGGCTCAGTGGTTAGAGTGTTGTTGGCCCGCGGACTGAAGGGTCCTGGGTTCGATTTTGGTCAAGGGCACTTACCTCCATTGCAGGCTCGATCCCTGGCCCTGGTTGGGGCGAGTGTGGGAGGCAACCAATCGATGTGTCTTTCTCAGGTTGGTGTTTTTCCCTCCCTCCCTCCCTCCCTCCCTGAAAAGCAATGGAAAAAAATATCCTCAGGTGAGGATTGGGGTAAAAAAAGTGATTCCAAATGGAAAGTCTGAGATTCAAGAAGAAAAGAAGACTCTCTAGCAGATAAAGTAAATACATGGGTAAAATCTAAACAATCATTTTATATATATATATACATATATATGTGTGTGTGTGTATATATATATATATATATGGTTGTTGCTAATCCTCACCTGAGGATAATTTTTCCATTGATTTTTAGAGAGAGTGGAAGGGAGGGAGGGAGGGAGGGAGCGAGGGAGAAATATCGATGTGAGAAAGATACATCAATCAGTTGCCTCCTGTATGCACCCCAACTGGGCCCAGGGATCAAACCTGAAACCCAGGTACATGCTCTTGACCAGGAATCAAACCCTCAACCCTCCGGTCCAATGGCGGACACTAACCAATGAGCCACACTGGCCAGGGCAACTATATTTTTTAAAAGCAATGATATCTGGTGGAGTTAAACAAGGAAAGATAGACATAAACTACATGAAAAAAGCATATCAGTCTGGAGGGAAAATGAATGAATTTAAAGTGTTCTCAGGGCCTAGTATCATTTAGAAAGAAGGTAAAAATATTAGCTAACTTGGGACTTTGGTAAATTAAGCATGTATGTTTAAATTTCTAGGTTAACCAATGGAAAAATAAGAAGTATATAATCTCTGCACTGATATGGGTAAGGTGGGGACTGAATGACAAAATGACAACAGCAGCAACATAGGTTTCCTTCACCAGTCATTAGGAGAGCATGGAGCAGTGTTTCGTTCTGTTCATACAAGAGTTGCTTGGTCAAGTTCCCTGGTCATTGCTTACTGGTGATTTAATAAAATGACAACAGTAATTGATGTAGTGCCTGAAAGAGTTAATCTCTCAAACTCCCCAGTAAGGGCTACAGCTAGGGCAAAACTCTTGGCAAGCCCTCAACTTGGTAACCTTCATAGTTCAAAGTTCTAATGAAAGTTCTAGGAACAAAACCAAGAAAAGGCTCACCAGGATAAGGGTGAAGCTGTTTTTTGTGCCCAGACAGCAAGTGGTGTTTTGAAAACTATACCTTCCATTTAACCTAATCTCTCTGAATGTAGGGAGCCTTCCCTTAAAGACAAAGAATGAGGTCCCTCAAAGCGAGAGATATGTAGCCCTAATGTCCTTTCTTTCTAGGCCCATTACAATATCAGAGTCCTCTGGAGAAACTATATGTTTGAGTCCCTATGTCTTGGACAAGAGAAATAAATATTCAAGAATTTCAGGGGAATTTAGATACAGGAACAGAGAGAATGCAAATACCTGGAAACTTCAATTGAATGGGAAAGACTAAGTGTTTGAGGACGTGAAGGACGAAGGATCTGAAATAGACAGGTTTTACTAACCCTACAAGATGCACACAGAGGTCCAAAGGTATCCTCTTTGGTGGTTTCCACCTTGGTGGTTTCGTCACTCCCTGATATTGTTCTTTTCTAAAAAAACTTTAAAAAAATCATTTGAAACTCACAAAAGTGTTGCAAAAATAGAACGGGTTCCCTATATCCTTCCTCCAGCTTCCCTTAATGTTAACACCTTACAAAACCATAGTAAAAATAAAAAAATCAGGAAGTTAACATTGATACAACACTATTAACCATGAGAGTATTATTGAAATTAAGCTATTACTATCTTGGAGAAAGGATTTACTCAAATGAGTAGTATATTGGCTGCTAAAAATAGAAACATGAAGTTCTCTTTTCCCACCAAAACTGTAAATATAAAATAGTGCCAGGCCCGGGATCATGAGTGAAATCACAGCTGATACTGAGTGACTGGGAGACTGTCTCCATCTCCAGCCTTTTCCCCTGTAATTCTCAGTTGGGTTATTGGGAAAGTAAATGGATCTCTCCAACACTGAGGATGACAGGAAACTAAATGAGCGCATGTTAACTGTTCCTCTGTAGGAAGATCACCCTTGATTGGTACCCTTTTATTGATTTTACCAGGGCATTATTTTCAATCCCAAACATTTTAGACATCAATAGCAGTTTGCTCACAATCTTGCATCCAAGATATTTCAGTTCTCTAACATTTGTTAGAATTTGTTAAGGTGGGATTTAAACAGGTATCCTAATTATAAGTCAGATAGTAAAATTACTCATTATATTGATGGCATACTGGTTAGAGGCAACTGATTCAGAAGCAATTGTTTCTGAAGCTCAGCCTTTCCATTTATAACTGAAAGACAGCGGGCTGTTAAGCATGGAAAAAGATGGCCCTCTCAGAAAGCAAGCTGTCTGGGAGTGCAATTATATGGGGTAACCAGAAAAATTCTAACCTAGATGAGGGAAAGGCTTTTGTCTGTCCATGAAGTCCCCACCCCTACAATAGAGGCACAGAAATCAATTTGTATGTTTCACGCTGGAGACAGCATGTCCCATATCTGGGTATGAAGTTACAGCCACTTCATCAAGTCACTAGGCAAGCACTGGAGTTTGTATGAAGCTGCTCCCCTGTCATGAGGGAAAAGTATGTTCTTATGGCAGCTGATTCTTTTTGCAGACTTGGGTGCCCTCTGGTAGTTGACCTACTTCTTCCATGGAGTTCTAAGTGCAGAATTCCCTAGAGGAGGGCCCTTTTCAATGGCCCAGCCCAGGCCTCCTCCTTAACTGCTTTCCCCTCA